GACCATTTCATTTGCACTGATGACAAAGTGTACCCTCCCTAATAAAGGTGGATCAACAGAGATCCTAATGTGACACTAACTCGAGTCATGTCTCTTTTTCTACACACTAGTAAATAATGTTGGGGCTAAAAAAACAAAGAAAAAAGGAGCCCCATGAACCACCAGTTTGCATCAGTTTAGAAAACTTCTGATGATATTGTGTTAAATCACTAAACAACACTGAGTTGAACCAGCTGTTAATCCACAATTGACTGTTGCTTTTCTTCACTACTCCAACTGTCTGACATTGTCCAGGCATCTCAAGATGACATTCAAGGTGATGAAACACTAAGTTATTAACCCAATGTCATTAACTAGAGTTTAGAAAAGAGAAATGTGAGTTTAAATTATACACAATATTAAGGTGGCGCAGATTTCAACATCATTACATCAACCCAACCCGTCAATATGTTTGTTTCCAACTTAAATAATGTCTTCAAATCAGTACATCAGATTCTTTTAGCTTGTAACTATGCATTTATTGAAGTCGAACAGGTTCCTTGAATTACTTTATAAAGTCATATATCATGAACATTTATGGCACTGTTACAAAAACACAAACACTCCTGTTGATCCTGTGTTTTAGTTTCTTTTGTAAGAAATCGATTCACTTAGGGAGAGAGCTTAAAAAAACTGGCAAAGTGTGACCATTTTTAAGAAATGAATTCCCATAGGACAGCTGGTTTAACTCTTTTCTTTGGTTAATGCAGACAAAAGCATAACTGAGGCATATCCTGCTTTTCCATGCAGTGTTGATATTTGTGCACCAGCTCTATAGTTAATATTTCATGTAATCATTTCAAAGTTTGGTAATTAAATGGCTGATGTATAAATAAAATAAGCTGCTGTGCCAAATATCTCAATAATTTTATCTGAAATTTCCAATGAAGGAAGTGATAGGAGCCACAGAGAGCAGTCTTTAGTCAGAGTTGTTGTGTAGACGAGTATCTGCAAAGTCCATAAAAAATGGTCAAACAAATCAACGTGTAGAGCAAACAATTGCAAGACACTGCTGAATTCAACGCATCTCCTGGAGGGAAAACAAGCTAAGGTGTTGCTTAGAAATGACATTTGTGCTGTAGTTCCTGTCAGTGATTAGACATCATCAGCGATGTTCACAGTCTGATGAGGAACAATGGAGACGAAACTAAACACTATCAGGAATATAAAACGTGAACATCAGTGGTGTTTCTTTATCACAGCCATAAACTACATACTCACGTGTTACAATGACGACATTTAACCTCAATCCTACTGACTGAGGTCCAGTTGAACCCTGGATTGTGTTTTTCATCTTCCACAAGAATGTCAGAGGCACAACAAAGTTGAGTTTTAGGAGTTTCTTTGACTATATGAGCTCGATCTCGTACATGTGTTATGTTTAGATGTATGGCTGTTCTAGAGAGGGAGCAGCTGATTTCCTGTTGGGGTCGACTTGGACCCCATCTGAAGGTGCTAATTTTCATATATTTAAATATATGTACTTCACACAACATATAGTTGTCTCTGTGTTTGTATTGAATAATGTCAAACAGAAAAAGGCCAGCAAGATGCACTGTTGGGATATAAAACGTGAACATCAGTGGTGTTTCTTTATCAAAGCCATAAACTACATACTCAAGTGTTAAAATGACTACATTTAAAAACTATGAAGACAGAAGATATCACAGAAGAACCTCCTCACAATCTTTCCTTCAAAATTCTATTCCCTTTTCTTCTTTATCTTATTTATCTTAATTTATCTTGTTATTATTGTTTCAATGTGAAGCAGATACAAAACGCATTTCACTGTGCGTTATACTGTGTATAACTGTGTTTGTGACCAATAAAGACCTGGAACCTTGAAATACCAATAAACGCTGACTAATGATTAAGTTGTAAAAGTCCTAAATAACAAACTGTTGGGAAGTCATAAGGAAGGGCCAGGTTTATATGACTATCATAAAGTTATATGACATTTAGAATCAGATCTGTTGTCTACACTGTTTCTAACCTACAAACCTAGATTTTCATATAAACAGATGGTTCAGCAGACATTTACAGTAGAGCTACGACATACTGAATACTAAACAAACAACATCTTAGTTCTTCTCCTTCTTGCCATGATTGTGCTGTTTTCATGCAGGTGCAGGACTTTTTTTAAAATATATTTTTTGGGCTTTGTTGCTTTTATTTAGAGCAGTGGAGACAAACAGGAAAGGGAGGAGAAGAACAGGGAGAGACCTGCAGCAAAGGGTCGTGAGCGAGAGTCGAACTCACGACAGCTGCATCGGGGAGCTATAGCCCCTGTTCATGGGTCGCCAGCTCAACTAGGTGAGCTATAGGGACGCCCCCCGAGGTGTAGGACTC